AGTGTTGCCTCAGGGAATTTGTAACAGTCCTACCCTATGTCAAAATTTTATGCCATAGGCTACCACACCTATAAGGGAAAAATTCCATGATGCATATATTATTCATTTTATGGATAACATACTTTTAGCTCATGCTAATTCAGATGTACTCTTAAATTTTTTTTGCCCAATTATAGACTTCACTCACAGCAATGGGTTTCTGCATTGCACCTGAGAAGGTGCAAGACATCTCCTTTTCAATATCTAGGTTATGTGATTGAAGGACATACAATCTGTCCTCAAAACTTACAAATAAGAATCAAGGAGCTGCACACCCTTAATGATTTTCAAAAATTATTAGGAGATATTAATTGGCTGAGGCCATCTTTAAAGCTAACTACTTCAGATTTAAGTCTTTTATTCCAGATATTACAGGGAGGTCCTTCTCCAACTTCTTCTCATCAGCTCAAAGCAGAAGCAAGAACAGCTATGAGGAAAGTTGAAATTGCTATTAAGAATGCTCAGCTTACTAGAATTAATCCAAAGAGCCTATATATTTATTAATATTTCCAACTGCTTACATCCCTACAGGGGTTATGTGGCAGACATTGGGAGTTATTGAGTGAATTCATTTAGCCCACTCTCCTCAGAAGTCATTAACTCCTTTTCATTATTTTATTGCTCAATTAGTGATAAAGGGCAGAACAAGAGTTTTACAGCTATTTGGATCAGTACCTAATATTATAATCATTCCATTTTCTGCTCAACAGAATGATTGGCTTTTTCAAACTTCTAATACTGAGAAAGTAGCTTTTGCTAATTTTCCTGGTCAGATAGTCATTATCATTGTGATAAAATTATTCAATTTGCATTGGTAACTCCATTCATATTTCCAGGATTGTACGTGCACAACCAATAGATGGTGCACTAACAGTATTCACTGATGGCTCAGGCTCAGGTACAGCAGGTTTTTATAGTCATGCTCATACATAGATAATACAAACCTCATATGCTTCTGCCCAAGGAGMAGAACTACAAGCTCTCATTTGTGCTTTAAGTGATTTTGCAAATGAGCCCATTAATATGCTTATATGCAGTTGGAGTTACAAAAAATATTGAAACTTCAATTATTGGGTATACATCATCACAAGAGTTATTCAATTTATTTCATATCCCACAAAGGACAGTACAAATGTGAAAGCACCCATGTTTTATAGGCCACATATGGGCCCATACTAATCTTCCAGGGCCTCTAACATCAGGTAATGATAAGATTGATAAATTGGTTGCTGTTTGTCAGAAAATGTCTTTGTATGACTGTGCACTAGCTTCATATTCTTTGCATCATCAAAATGCTTCTAGTTTACATAAAAAATTAATATTACTAAAGAACAGGCTTGTCAAATTGTACGTCACTGCCCCCAATGTGTTATACACACACCATCTTTACCATGGGGTATTCCCGTGGATTAAAACCAAATCAATTATGGCAAATGGATGTAACTCACATTTCTCAATTTGGTAAACAATGTTATGTACATGTGATTGTAGATACTTATTCTAGATTTATCTTTGTTATAGCCCATGCAAAAGAAAATACTCAACATGTTATTTCTCATTGTTTAGCTGCCTTTGCAGTATTAGGATGTCCTTTACAGATTAAAACTGATAATGCACCGGCTTGTGTAAGCCCTTCTTTTCAACAATTTTGCCAAGAGTTTCATATTGACCATGAAACAGGTCTTCCTTACAACCCTCAAGGTCAAGCCATGGTAGAATGAGCTCATTTATCTATTAAGCTACAATTACAAGAACTAAAGGGGGAAGATAGAACTAGGACTCTTCAAAATAACCTTAATCATGCTCTGTTCATTTTAAATTTTCTAAATTGTGACTCAGAAGCTTGCACTGCAGCTGAGTGACACATGTCTTCCATAGCAACAGGCCCTTTAGGCTGAGTTTGGTGGAAGGACTTGCAGACCTGTCAATGGGAAGGACCAGATCCAGTGATTATGTGGGGAAGAAGTCATGCTTATATTTTCCCAGAAGGTGCTTTTCGTCCTATTTTGGTACCTCCATCAGGCATGGAGGACATAGAACCAAGATTCAAGTGACTGAAGATTGACCCAGAGATGCCAGACCTGACTTCCTTCAAAAAGAGGAACTCTTGAAGGAAGAGAAGAAGAAAGAGGGCTCAGAGAGATTGAATGAGGAAGCTACGCTCATGGAAGGATCTGAGGAAATTGATGCTGCAGGTGCACAAATGATTCGACAGCAAGGAAAAAAATCTTTAACAAGGATGCTTGCTGCAATATTAGCTCTATTGAGCTGTCAGGTAAATGGGAATCAGGGAGAAACTTATTGGACACAAGATCCACCTTTAGTACACTCAGCAGTGTGGACTAGAGAATGTATCCCAGTATTTCTAATGACTTATATATGATGGGATTATTTACAAGACCCACGTTACTCCCAACCATGTGACTGGATTTAATTATTCTGGCTATAGTGCTCAATTATCTTGTGTTGGTCCCACAATCAACAGGCTGTCTGTCTAAAAGTGTCATTTAAGGAAAAGACAGTAGTTGGGAGACCTATATCAACTAATGGTACAATTCCTGGTGACTCAAAACCTTGTATCAGATCAATTATTAAAATGGGACTTTCTCATAACCAAACAGTCATCTCAGCAGAACGTCCATGAATACCTCATTGTCCTAATCATTCTGCGATAGAAATTGACATCTTTCCTATGTAGATAGATTGTATAAATACTTTTCCAGTACAAAATAAGGTGTCTAGAAATAGTGGGTATATTTTGGACTGGTCTCCTAAAATTGACAAAAGGCAATTGCTCAAGGTTACTTCCATGACTCCTGGAGGATTTGTTAGTAACATCTTGACCTTCAGCGAAGGTGGCATTCAGAAAGATGTTTGGTGCTCAATTGCTGCCTCAGAATTCTTACATTTTACTGACAAACCTTTACAAGACTTTGTAGACAAAAACTGTAAGAAGGTTCTTGTTATGGCTTATGGGCCTGCGTTCAATCTCCTTACATTTTAATTACTGGAAATGTAAAAGTTAAAAGGAAAGATGATAGATATCTTGTAACATGTAATAAATCGAATTTAATTACTTGTATCACCAGATATAATAGAGGGAAAGGAACGCTGATACTTTATCAGCCCTCTTTTGTCTTATTGTCAGCTAATATTATTTCAGAGCCATGATATGCTGATGCTGGTTTTCAAGTCTTACAACAAATACATGCCCAGCTATGAAGACCTAAAAGTGCTCTTGGTCTCTTAATAATGGGAGTTGTTGCCTTAGTTTCCTTTATTGCTTCAACAGTCACAGCTGTATCTCAAAATATTCAACACACAAATTTTCTTAATAATCTGGCTCAGAATACTTTCAAGGCTCTTCATCATCAAATAAATATTGATGAGAAGATTGAGATGAAGCTAAATGCCTTAGAGGCTACTGTCATAAATATTGGTAATGAACTTTGGCTGTCTAAAAGTGTCTATAAAATTCAAGGAAAGACTTAAATGTCATGCTAGCTATAAATATGTGCGTGTTACTGCTGCCAAATACAATGCTTCCCAATGGGATTGGGAGAAGATTAAAAACCATTTATTGGGTATTTGGCAAAATAATAATAACATTTTGGATCTTTTGAAACTCCATCATCATATTCAAGATATACAAAAAGTAAGATTGATTTTTTGGGTCCTACTTCTTTAGCTGATCAAATACTTAGAAAATTGAATGGCTTTAACCCTGGAAACATTCTTAAACATTCTTCATGATATATCCTTATATTGTTCTCTTTGCTACTAATTCTCTCTTGAATTGTAATTGCAGGATGGTGAGACTTCAAAACAGTGATTTCGGGACTCGAAATAGTAACCCATCACCTTCTTTTTCAAAGAAAGAAGGGGAAATATGTAGGGAGCCACTCTGAATAACTTGCGCCTTCCATCCTGAAGCAAGAGGCTTTGACCATCACTACATTTTGTAGTGATCTGGGTGGTGTCCTGGTTCAGGAAGTTGAAGGTGTGTCTTCAGATGTAGGCATGTTGCCCCTTGGGTTGAACTACCCTCACCTGTCCCTTGTAACCTTGCCCCTTCTGGCCTTTTTTGGATGGAACTTTCTAAGAACAAGTGTCCCCCCAATAAAAGCCCACTTCCGAATTTGCTTGTTCTCTCTCATCAGTCTCTCATGACTTTGTCTTGCTCTCCCATTTGGGGAGCCTGAGGCCAAGAATGGAGAAGCCATCCTGAAACTTGTTTAGAGGTACAGGGTGTGTCTGTTTTATTTGGTGTCTCTGGAAATTCACACGAGCAACCTTAAGTTCAGCTGCCCACATGGGTCCAGGGCAGCAAACATGCTCAGTAAAGAAGCATCTTCCTAACTAATGCAATATGGGACAGAGTGAATAAATGTGAATAAAAACAGAATGTCTTTATAAGTTATTTTTATTCAGATTTTACTATTTTTATTATAATAACCTAAATAATTAGTTTCTAAAATTGGTCTGAACAAAACCTTACTCCTTACTTTTTTTTAACTATTTATTTATAGCATATAGCTTTTCAATTTTTAAATTTATAGAAATCTTTTCAATTTATATAAAGAGCATTTCCTACAAGACTTTGAAAGAAAATAGTTTTTTTTTTATTTTTAAAGAAAGACAAGTCCTTTATCTTCGAGGACATGATCCTTCAGTTCTAGAAGGCAAAGTTGCTATAAAAATGCAAATTGTCATAACTTTTCTACTGATGACAATTTTCTCAAAGACACATATGATATGCATACTTTTCAAATAGAGGAAGAATTATTCACTAATTATGTTATAAATACCAAACAAAAGAGAAGAACATATTTACTTTAATTGCTATTATATAAAATTAATAATCAGACTAATTTTTTTTACTATATTTTATTGTAGGTGTGGAATAGAATGGTGTGCAGAGAGGGCATGCAGTATGATAGCAACACTCCATTTGGACTTACATGGTCACGTCTTCATTCAGCTTCTCTTGAAACTGAGTACAGTTCTGAGAAATTGCTGTAAAAAAAGGTTTTTTTTTTAATTATAAAAGAAAGTAATTTTCARTTAGCCATACTGTTTCACAGGTATTCCTCCAAACTACACATAGAACTTTCTAGAGAAAATGGACTTCATGCCTAACACAGGCCTAGGATCATCTTATTTTCTATTCTTCAAACTAGTARTTGAAATAATTATTTCTGCTCTCAAGAAATATTCATGCAATGGCTAAAAATACAAGGAAACACTAACAATGTAGCTCATATTCAGGAAGAATTCTTTAGGACTCCTCTAATCAGGCAACAGTCAGGAAAGCAACAGTAACAGAATTCCCTATTCCTACTTGAGATCATACATTTAGAATTCAGTGTGATACACCCCAAATGATTTAGAAAGTTCAAGAAAAGCCAGAACTCATGTGGAAGTTCTAAAACTAGWAGTCATGGAAAATCCTGAAAGGAAACTCACTGAAATATGTGGGGTTACAACTAGAATAGTCACATAATAAACCCATGTTTCAAATAATCCTTCAGTTACAAGTCTTTCATGTAAATTTTTAGTAAAACATAGTTCTAGTAAAATATTCTAGTAGAAAATACTTCATATATATTGTAAAAAATTCATTGTACAATAATGTTATACCATGGTCCTGACTTTACCAACAACACAAATGTGTCAATATTCACTGCCATAATTTTAGTGTTTAAAACTCTATGATCAACATTATAAAGGCATCATGACTTTTCATATCTTATATAGTCATAACACCATTCCCTATAATAATGTCTATGAATTTATTTATATGGAAATTATTATTTCTCCCTTATTCTGTTTGTGGAATTGTGGGAAGGAAAATTTTTGAAGCAGGCTTTTCAAAAATAAAAGAATTGACATGGTAGAAGTGAAGATTTTAAAACCTAGTAAAAAATTTTAATGAGTTTTAACTGAGCTAATGAATAGAATAAACATTATTTCTAAAATGGTATCACAATGACATCAAAATAACAAAATCTAATTTTGGATATTGTATTAATAGAGATAATATGTAAAGAAATTCAGCTCTGGCGCCAAAATGAGCACCCAATGAATGATGGTTATTATACATGTTTTATTTGTAGGAGAAAATAATCATATTATTCTCCTAGGAAATCAATGTTAATAAATAATAAAGTTATTATTAAAGGGTTTTAATAATCTGTTATAATATACCAATAATATCACAAATGTATATAAATCCTTATCAAAACTGCTTTTATGATTATGATATTTGCTAAAATTCACCAAAGCAATATCAGTCAGAGATGCATTGCCAATTGCTGTCCAAGGCTTGTAAGGCAATCAATTATASAATATCTCTAACAAAAAGAGCACCCTCAAGTGACTGCCTTCTGTTGCTAGKTTTACCACTCACTCATTCATATAGTTGGCAATCAATACATTTTTCTTAGTGAACTACTGGGTCCTTCCAAATGACAATTAACTTAGCTTACATTATTAAAATATAAAATTTTAATTTCATTTATATCCTCAATTTTACTTTTATTATTAWTTTTTTWAACAATTAGGCAGGCAACTATCATCTGGATGGATATAGAGATGGAAGCAGTGGGTGTATTTCATTCAAATAAAAGTGGACAACTGAAAGATTATTAACCTTTAGGTGAGAAACAAAAAGGCTTAAATTAGTATAGGGCACTGACAAAAGTACACAAAGCTAGACCAGTATCTACAAGACATTTAGGTTTTAATGTGTTACTTGCCCCAGTTTTTAAAAATAGCTGTAAGGATACTTCCTAGTGTGGACTTTGGGGACAAATATGTAAGTAAATCAGGAAATTACTTATATTTATAATATATACTTGATAAAAGAGACTGTATATAGGAGAATCACTAGAATTTACATTTTAAGGAATAATGTGACCTTGTAGGACATGGCTGTGAAGTAGGACACTAGAAAGGGTGCATGAAAGATGCCTTCAAGCACAGGAAATAGGAGCAAATGTCTAYGGGTGCTATGAAAAGAGTTTTGCACACTCAATTGCTAAATTTCCCTCCTTATCTTTTATCAAGATATTGGTCTATAGTACTGTAAGTTTTTGCATGTTCCTTTCTGCTTCCTGTCTGAATTATGCCCTATAGTGCCACACAAGTCCATGTCTATTGAATAACTCCAAGTAGCCAGAAAGATTTAGCCACTCTTACTTTCTTGACTTCTTCTTTTTATTGATAAGTGGAATGGAATGGCCCAAACTTTGTTTAAATCCTGGTATAATCACCAATTCTGATAGAGCAATATTTGAATTTTCAGAAAAACAAGCCTAACCATAGTGGGTTTCAGAGGATTCTTGTGCACCATCAACAAGCCTTTGGACTTGACCTGTGGCACTGGCTCTCTCCTGGGGCTCAGACTGGCCAGTATCTGGCACATTTTAGACTTGCCTAACTCCATAATCATGTAAGTAAATTTCTTAAAATCACTTTCTCTTTACACACACACACACACACACACACACACACACATACAGAAAGATTCCTACAAATATGAGTAATATTTAAAATGCCTATAAATGAGTAGAATGAGACCTTTTTTGTATACTCAATTGGTAGGTTTCCCCCTTATCTTTATTGAGGATATTGTCTCTTGTACTATAATTTTCTGCATATTCTTTTTTTTTTTTGGTTTTTTTATTGGGTGTTCACAACATTACAAAGCTCTTGACATATCATATTTCATACATTAGATTGAAGTGGGTTATGAACTCCCAATTTTACCCCAAATGCAGATTGCAGAATCACGTTGGTTACACATCCACAATTTTACATAATGCCCTATTAGTAATTGTTGTATTCTGCTACCTTTCCTATCCCCTACTATCCCCCCTCCCCTTCCCTCACATCTTCTCTCTCTACCCCATCTACTGTATTCTTTGATATTTCCTTGTTGAAGTGTGCTCTACAGTGCCAAGCTTGTCTATGTCTATTAAAGTGCCCCAAGTAGCTACATATGTATACATATGCACATTGGCCTATCTCTCTCTCTTTGTATACATATACATACACACAGAGATGTATCTACACACATGCACACTTATTGATTGTGTTTCTCTGGAGAACTTAGCAAGAACTATTAGGTTCTTTAGTATCTAGTGATATAGAAGAATAAATGATTTAAGTACATATTATACAGTTTGTTTACAATGCAATAATCTGCACTATGAGCTCAATTCCTGTTTTATTTATTATATGATTTTGGGTCCCCAGGAATCCCGAAAAATAAATCTTGTACTCACTTGTGTTGGTTTGGACTAGACATTCACTAGTAAGGTGATCACTCACTTCTCCTAAAACCAGAGACATTAAAGGAAGACAGGCTCCATTTACCAGTGATGCCAATATTCCCAGGACCATGAGCACGATGTCCAGTCCATCAGCAAAGCGGAACTGAGGAAAACAAGGCAAGGTACTGTGATGGCTGTAAAACAAACGTCACAACCCAGAGCTTTTGCCAGCAAGTGAATGCAACTTTACAAATTGATTGAAATTAAAAAGTTATAAAATCAGGGACATGCATTTATATATAAACCAAACCAAACCAAACCCAAAATCCAATATTAAGACTTTACAATAGATTTTGAGGAACTCTTTGAAAAAATACAGCATTTAAATCTGTATAAACTGTAGGTGATTGCATAAGTCAGTTAAGATGTGGACATGAATCAGAAGCTTTTTTCTACTTAGTTAATATTGGAATAGGTTAAGATATTTTCAAAGACTGCAGTGAAAATATTTTAGTTTATGAAAAGTTAACTGAGGAATTTCTAATTCCCTAGTCTCATCAGGATGACAGCATTGTCACCACTAGATGCAGTAAACAGAAACCAATTAGTGAAAATGTAAGAAATTATATTTCTAACTTTTTTAGTTCCTGGGATTCATTGTAACCAGAACAGTGTCTAACCTGTGAATAAGGATCTATAATAATTTGCATGACTAGAATAAAAAAGAAATGCCTGAAAGCTTAGATAAGTATTCAATGCATTATATTCTATTCTGTACTGGTTCCTACAACACCATTCCAAAACCAAACCGGGAACAAAATTTGGAAACATGAATTATTTATCTTAGTGAGAGATCAAATGGAATATAAAAAAGCATAGTAGTGCAATTATATTGGAACAACAATAAGAGGAACTTAATTCTTATTTTGGGTGGAGTTTAAAAAAATGTTGTGTTTTTCTGTTCATTCATGCAATAGTTAATCAGGATTTATGAGTGGCTTCTGCAGCATTTTAGTCAATATTACCTATGATAACAGGGTATTGCTCCCTTGCTGTCCCCCAGAATAGTATGCTATCTCCTTGATAAAGGTTATCATATTCTGCTACTTCCCATATTTAAAAAAATTAACTTTTCAAAAACAACAGYTTCCTATATGTTTCTAATAACATTGACAGCCAGGCCTAGAGATGAGAGTGGTAAAGGGAATGTCTGAGAATGTATGCATGAAAATGTTCCTTGCACATATTTCAAAGAAATGTGCGGACACATTTTCTGATATGTAAGCTTTATGAAATACTAAGATAATTATTTTTTATTTAAAAAAAGATTTATAACATTTTTTGAGATKATAACTGCAACTCACAATATCAAAGTGGGATTATTGGGAAATATTTAAATGTAAATAAATTAAAAGTCTCTCATAATCCTTCATCTTCATAAATGTGTAGATATTGTGCTATTTTTGCTTATCCTTTAATGTGGGACTTTATATTTGTTTATATTTTTCTTATTGGAATTAACACTCTGATAAATTCCTCTGTAAACTCTTCTTTCCCCTAACCAATGGATGTAAACCACCAGATATAATCCTTCTCTGCACCACTGACAATTCCCTAAAATGTTCTGATATGTGCACTTTCTACTTGATATCACTTACTATCTCAATAGCTCCAACAGCTTGCTTTCTTGTTTTAGGAAGTTGTTCTTGTAGTGTTCTAGAAAATAGAAAAGTTACAGTATAAACATAATTTGCAAAATTTTCCAATTAGCATTTTGCTAAATGTCAAATATTGCCCTTGGTGGTAACTTTAGACACTTACAAACACTGAAGTTTCGAAACCAAATTTAACAATAGAGTACAAATATTTCTTGAAAAGGCACTGGGAAAAGAAGTCGTCACTGGCTGTCTCTAACTTTGTTAATTAAGTAGAAATAAAGACAAAGACATGCATCTGTAGTAAAATTTTTAAAAACTGTGACATAAACTATATAACAGATGTTTTAGTCAGCTTTTTCACTGCTCTGACTAAAAAATTAGACCAGAACAACTGTAGAGGAGAAAACGTTTATTTGAGGGCTCACAGTTCAGAGGTCTTAGTCCATAGAAGAATGGCTCCATTCTTCAGGGCTCSAGGTGAGGCAGGACATCATAGAGGAGCAGTGTAGCAGAGGAAAGCAGCTCACGTATGATCCAGAAGCAGAGAGAGATACTCCACTGGCCAGATACAAGTATATACCCAAAGCCACGCCCCTGTTCCCATTTCCTCCAGCCATACCTATCACTCCACGCAACAGTTAATTCCCATCAGGAAATTAGGTCACTGATTGGGTTAAGACTCTTACAACCCAATCTTTTGTCCTCTGAACCTTCTTGCACTGTCTCACATGTTAGGTTTTGGGGGATACCATACATCCAAACCATAACAGCAGACTTTATCTACTTAATCACTTTAAAGTGTACAACCAGAGCACTGAATATCTTCACATTGTTGTATTATCATTTTCATCCACAACACTTTTTTCCTCTTGCAAAACTGAAACCCTATATCTATTAAGCTACTCTGTATTGTCCCCTTCCCCAGCCCCTGGAAGCCACCATTCTACTTTCTGTCTCCATGAACCTGACTATGATAGKTATCTCATATAAGTGGAATCATACAATAGTTTTCCTTTTGCAACTGGCTTAATGTTTTCAATGATCATTCTTGAATTATTCACTTAACAAATTGTCTGCAATTTTCATTCACATTGTATCATGTTGAAATTTCCCCGTTCTCAAGGCTGAATACTATTCCATTGCATGTACAATGCCACATTTTGTTGATCCATTCATCAACTGATGGACACTAGGATTTCTTCCATATTTTGGCCACTGCTAATAATGCTGCTATGAATATAGGCATACAAGTATTTCTTTGACTCCTTGCTTTCAATTCTTTCTTTTAAATATTTTTTTAGTTGCAAATGGACACAATACCTTTATTTTATTTGTTTATTTTTATATGGTGCTGGCGATCAAACTCAGTGCCTCATGCATGTTAGGCAAGCACTCTACCACTGAACCACAACCCCAGCCCTGCTTTCAAGTCTTTTGAGTATGTACCCAGAAGCATAATTGTGAAACCTTATGGTATTTCTAGTAATTTTTGAGGAACCACCACACTTTTCCACAGCATCTACTTCATTTAACATTCCTACCAACAGTGCATAAAAATTCCAGTTTTTCAACCTCCTCACCAACACTTGTTCTTTTCTTTCTTTTTGGATGGTAGTCATCCCCTCTTTAGTCTTTGTCTATCATTCAAATGAAATCAGGCATGTACTTCCCCAATTCCTCGTGGTAACTAGCAAAATTACCCACTTCCCAGTCTAGTTTTCTGTGGGAAGGCAGATGTGGCAGTTGTGTTCCCACTGATCTATTAGCTTTTTTGGGGGGTGGGGGTAGGAGTCCACCACTGTATCTAAACAAACATAATGAAGTTGCTAGTAGACTACTTTAAAAATGGGAAAACTAGTCACAGAGTAAACCACCCAGGTTAAACTTAGGTCTGAATCCACAGCTTGAACTTCCTTCCTTTATCTATCTATCTATCTATCTATCTATCTATCTATCTATCTATCTATTTATTGGTATTAGGGATTGAACCCAGGGGTGATAAACCACCCAACCATATCTCCAGTCCTTTTTAAATTTTTATTTTTGAGACAGGTTCTTGCTAAGGTGCTGAGACTGGTCTTGAACTTACAATCTTTCTGCCTTAGCCTGGAGTTGCCCGGATACAGGCCTATGCCAACCTGCCCAGCCCGAGAGCTTAAACTCAACTATAGAGTTATAATGCTGCTTGTGAAATACATACTGATGATATAATTTCAGTCCAAAAATAATATTCAAATGTACAAATGAATTCTAAAATAAATTTTTCTCCTCATCTCTCCCTCATACCATCACTCTAGGGCATAGAATTTAAAGAATCTGCTTTGAATTTTTGAGGTAATGGTGCTTAGACTGTATGGCAAAAAGTTATGGGAAAGTTTAGTTTACCTTTGGAAAATAATAATAGCAACACAACCAAAATTGAAGCAGTACAGGGTGTGAAATGTAGTTCTTTTATGTTCATATGTTCCCAATATTTGATTTTTTTTTATATAGTCACAGGTGCAGCCACTGTGGGAAATAATTTGGAGATTCCTTAAAAAACTAGAAATAGAATTATATGATCCAGCAATCCCTCTACTAGTTACATATATATAAAGGAATTGAAATCAATATGTTGATGAGTTGTTTGCATTTTCATGTTTATTTCAGCATTACTCATAATAACCAAGATAGGGGGACATCCTAAGTGCCCAATAATGGATGAATTGATGACGTGATGTAAATATACAATGGGATACTGTTCAGCCTTTAAAAAAAAGAAAACTTATCCAACTGGAAAAAAAAAMMAAWTWAAAAAAATGCACYAAAAGACAAATATTATATGATCTTATTTCTTTTCAAATCTCAGAAATTAAACTCTCAAGAGTATGGGGCTGGGGATGTGGCTCAAGCGGTAGCGCGCTTGCCTGACATGCATGCGGCCCAGGTTCGATCCTCAGCACCACATACAGACAAAGATGTTGCATCCGCCAAATACTAAAAAAAATAAATAAATATTTAAAAAAAAAGAGTATAGAGTAGAAAAAGGGTGGTTACCAGAGGCCGAGGAGGTGGATAATTTGGGGAAAGAGAGATGCTGAACAAAAGGAGCATATTTTCAGTTAGGTAGGAGGAGTAAGTTTCAATGTTCTTTTGCACAGCATATTGACTTTAATTAATAATATCATATACTTCAAAATTGCTAAAACATAGGATTTTATACTTTGTCGCCACAATGAAATGATAAGAATGTGAAGTGACAGATAAGTTATATTAGCCTGATTTACTAATTCCACAATGTACACATGTATCAAGCATCCCACTGTACCTCATAAATATACACAATTATTAGCCAATTCAAAATAAAATAATAAAACAAAAAATCCCTATGGAACAACAACAACAATTCCAAAGAGAAATTTTCTTTATTTTCAAGAGTTTTCTGAAGGCAAGATTGCGGATTAGTGGGAAGTGGCTTTTCTCACCACTGGGTGACTCAGGACGCAAACAACAAGAAAACTACTTCTCTGGAAAGTGAGTAAAAAAAGAAAAAAAAAGAAACAAAATAAAACACTCCATTGATCTACTGATACTCAATATTGGACAGAGAGCCTTGGATACTGGGAAATTTGGGGTATATCAGACTAAGGTTATAGGAATAGAATTGGAGCTGAGCTAAGGAATAGAATTGAAGCACAGAAAATACACAAAGTCAGAAAAAGATCAAAAAGTGGTGGGAAGATCTTGGAATGGGAAATCTCAGGATTGAAGGGGCAGCCTGGCCTGGGCCAACCCAGAAGCTATTTAGTCCAATAAACTGGTGCATGAAAGTCATGGTCTGCCAGCTGGGTACAGGGAGGCCAAGGTGGAAACATTTTAATACCTCCATAAGTCTGGAACTCAGACTGGGAACTTAGATCCTTGAGTTCAGGAATGAAACCAATACATGACCAGCAGACCCCAACTGTGAGATTTAAARTAAACCAAGCACATCAGGAGAATCTCTGGCACAGAGAATTTCTGGCWTGGGGAGACCATTTTGCCTGAGGGAAATACAGATCAGAGAGGCCTGAGAAAGCTGGCTCCTCCTCTTCCCTACTCCATTGAACAAGGGCAGGGAGAAACTGAACAGGGTGGAGGGCCTGAGCTCAGAGCTGGGAAAGAGTCCTTCAGAAGCCAAACAAAGGCAGTATCCCTGAACCACAGAACAGTGAAGGACCCACTCCCACTTCCCACAGGTGGTGCCCTAAAGAGGAGTGAGGTACAATACTAAAGTGCTAGATTCATTAGTGGCTAAAAACTCCCCACATGATAAAACACCTGAGGCCATACCAGACTGAACCCTGGCCACTGGGAGCTTCACTTGCAGGAATTCATCTCACAGAACACAAAGGCAGCTACGCCCAGAAAGTGAAGCCTAAAGCATCTTCCACAGCTCCTCACACAATCCCAGTGAGAAGAAAAGTTGAGAAACAGAAAGACAGTTTGGTACAGGCAGTGGGCAAATACTCTCACTGACTGTTCTGTTTTTGTTTTTGTTTGAATGACTAATGACTGATCCATGGTGGACCTTTGTACGCAGACATATTTGTTTCTGCTTTATCGGTTTTAGCATTTCTTGAAGGTAGCTGTTTTTTGTGCTCTGTGTTTTGAGGATTAGAATTTTTGATTAGTATATTTTGGATTGATTTTCTGTTGTCTCTTTCACAACTCTGTTTTCCTTTGTTTCTATTTCTCTTTGTTTCTAACAGCTAAACCTATTGTGTGCTTCTCTCTCTCTCTCTTTCTCTCTTTGTCTCTCTCTCTCTCTTCCTCTAACTCCTTTACTTCCATTTTTTTTGTTCTYTCCCCTTATAAACATATCCTACATTGCCTCTGCATTTGTCCTATTCACTTATTGAATCTACAAACCCATTTTTACTACCTCATCTCTTCTTTTCTTTTAAAAGAATTCTATTTTAACTGGATACTTATTCATATATCATTTTTTTTTCATTTTTACCATTTTATTTCAAGATGGGTTTTTTTGGATCAATACTTTGAAGACTAAGGTGTTTGATTAGTATATATTGGTTACAT